CCTCGTGAGAAGCTCTTGTGCTACGTGCACTGGAGTTCAGGCCAGTTCAGAGCTCTGTGGTACAGCTCCAAGCTTTTGGGAGGGGTGTGCCTGTCTCACAGTCATTTCCTGGACAGGGATATTGTGGCACCACACGCATGAGAACCAAACCCCTATTCGCCCATACACTGACTGACCCTAGCTAGTTGCAACTCAATAAGATGGAGGCGCATAGTGAACTCCCTGGGAAGCCGGTCTTCTTATTCAAAAGCAGGAGTAACATGATCTCAACAACAGCTTTATGCAATGGGAAGGCTGAGGGCAACAGTCTGTCCTCTTCAGTCTGATGCGGCACTATTGGACACTGCACGGTGGGGGTGTTCCCTCCCCATAGGCAGAGATCTTCTATCTTAGGCCACGCCCCATCCCAGCAGAGAGGCCTGTGTGACACCTGTGGAGCAGCCAGTAAAGTCAACAAATGGGGCTACACTGAGCAGATGTGTGACTGGACAGGGCAAGGCTGGTTAGCTTTGAAATACTCAGTATATTGAATAGCTTCAGATTATCGTAAGATATTTTAACTTTATTCTGACCATGCATCGGAGGATTTTTCTCTTATTGTCTTTGACACAAGTCACTTTTGTGAAGATGGGTAAACAAAACACTGCAGAATTTTGGAAAAACTCTGCCTTGTACATGCATGAGAGCAACTACTTTGTCAAATCAATAACTCCATTAGAGGAAAATAGTCACTTGAAGCTATAGCATAATAATTATATAAAAACAGATATCGCTGACTTTATATTAAATTGCTCATTTGTGGTGTGCTCACAATCATGCAAGCTTGTTTGTGCAATGGTTATTGCTAGTGGAAGGCAGACTGACACTCTAAAACCAAGTCTGGTTGGAAAAGAAAGAAAACAGGAAGAGAAAGAAATATATAACAGCAGAGAGCAATTAACGGACCATGTGATGTATGTATGCATTTGAGAGTCTGATTATGGTGCCCTGGCATGCTCCCCTTCTGTTCCAGCAAGTGATCTCATATATACTACTATGTACACTCTACACTTGGGCAGACCGTGCCAGCTTAACCACTGCCTTATGTGCTCCTTACGGCGAGCCCGCTTTTGCTTTTTAACTCACCCCCCATCCGCCCCTCCCACAACGAGCTGGCAACGAGACAAGGTCAATATGATGTATTTTTCCTCTATCTCCAAGCCTAGGCACTCAGCACAGTCCTGTGCAGACTGACAAGCTCCAGACTACAGCTTTCATCCCGCATGTCTTCATCCAAAACGAAAGAAAGGGTGACAGAAGGAAATGGAGATGTAGAAGAGGGACATACAGAGAATTTTGCAATTTTAAGATATGGTGGTTTTGTTCAGGAAGCCTAAAAAAACAATTCATCTGGTTTGATACTCTAAAACCTTTTTAAAATATGATCACTTGATATATGCCTGCAGCCAGATAAACAGTAGTGAATTCCTCACTTTTTGTTTTCAACTTCTATTTCTATGATAGAGTATCGTATCTAAAGCTGTACTCCCTGAGAGAGGGTGAGGCAGTGGGGTAAGAGGGGTGAGGGGGTGATGTCTGGAGGTAGACAGGACTGGATGTGCCCAGACACACAGCCAGGCCCAGACATGAGGCTGTGTTGGAGTCTTTAAAGGCCTCACCCATGTCTTCGTCATGCAACCCCTTGTAAGAAGCTTGCCCCTTCCTTCTGTTATTCTTGAGCTGTACTTACAGTCAGAGCCCCTCACAGACTCCTCCTCTCTTTCTCTTCAAACAAGCAAACACAAATGCATACCTCAGCAAATGCATACCTCAGCCCACTGAGTGGCTGTAACACCACTCAAATCCAGAGAGCTGAGGGTGTGGGTTAGCAAGTAAATAATAATACAAGCCAGCTGTTCCTATTATATGTGCATATGCACAATGCTCCAGAGCCCCTCTGCTATATCACCAGTTCAATCTCACATGGAAACTGGACAGTGTCCCCTCCATTTCCTCCAGCTTGCATACATTGCTAGTGTTCTTTTATGTCTTGGCTTTAGTCCTATATTCTCTCCTTAAATTTTCCTTCACAGTGTGCCCAAGCCCAGACATGGTCTGCATATTGTCTGCAGGGGCCGAAGTTAGAATTCTCTCACGATACAAACGAGGAGCCCAGAAGGAGCACTAAAGAGAATGAGAAGAGGTGGGTGGGGTAGCTGGATTGAGGCACAGAGTTGTCTGTGTTTATTTTGGAAATGCTGGGCTGTAGACTTGCAGCAGAGGAATTGACCCATACATTTCACCATGTCAATGCCACTGACGGGCCAGAAGCAGTGTGGTACTTTGGGATGCCCCTCACAGGTGATTTAGACCAGGCTAGGACATTTTCTATCCCAAAAGCACTTTTTAACCTGCCCTAGGGAGCCAGGAATGGTCTGTAGCAGGAGGGAAACAGTGAGGCCGTGAAGTGATTAGTGGTTACAGTTTAACTGCAGAAAAATGCACGGTCTGTGAGCAGAGCCAGCCAAGGAGCAGAGGAGTATGCACCAGTCTCCTTCGACTCCTCACTGAGTCAGCCTCTGTATTCTCCACAAATGAGTCCAGAAATCTGGCCCATCACAACTAGCCCCAGCCCCACTGTCACCTCCTCTGCAGCACATATGGAAAGAGTTACAGATAAAATATTTGGTGCAAGCAATGCTCCACTAAAGTCTGTAGCAGAATGAGGTACACACTTTTTCAGCAGTTGACAAAGCGCACTACACTGAGTTTGTCCATCTTTGTCCAGTCCATCAATAGTCAGGGAATTCATATCATTGTCATTATTGATGCTAGCAGAACACGTATGCATGCTTTATTTTCTCACTATGATGCCCCATTCACAGACCACTGTAATCCTTTGTCCCCTGCTGCCGAGTTGCCTTTTAGCTTTGACCGTAATCCCAAGCTGCTCAGAAACCCTGCTGTGATATTAATTCAAACACTCACTTTCACCAACAATGACTCTGGCCTTGGCATTTGTGCGACATGTGAAAGCAATAATATTCAAGATCATTCTCTTATTTATTAGGTGGCAGCCATAGTATAAATTAAGGATATAAGGAGGATATTTTTTTCTGTTCATAAATCAAACAATCCTAATTTGCCTCTAAATCCACTTAATATCTGTTGATTGATCTGCATAAAATAGCTACAGCTCGAACCCTGTGATTACTAGGATCATGTCATTGGGATCATAAAGCAAGCAACAGCAAAATATAAAGCCTGGTTTACAAGTGGACAATCAGTTCATGTCTGGACAGGCAAAGCAAAGCCCACACCTCACATGATCACGTCACATTTACAGGGTCAGGAGATTGCTAAGTCTTCTAAAGTATAAGGAAAGTGTTCAGGCAGATGTTATTACTACTATATGTGCCCGATACTGCAGCCAAGCAGGATAAGAAAAAGCAGTCAAAGAAGCCAGCCTCTAGTGTACATCCTGTGAGAGAGGAATGCCATCACAGGGATGGACAGCTGAACCCAGTGGACATCTGGCTTTATAGTGCATTAAGCCTGAGATGTTGCTAGAGCTATAATAGTAAAGGACAGAGGAGAGTTACTACAATGGCAACAAACATCCATCTATAGTCATTATACACTTATAGTTATAATTGTTATTTTTTAAATCATCTATATCATTTAATATGCAAGCATATATTTCAGAAATATGTTGAAGCTTGCATCTTTGGCCAGGACTAAAACACATCTTGACGACAGAATATTACATGGAATGTTTCATGGCCTTGATATACAATGGTGATCCTTACTACAAACCACAATCAGGGTATTGATAGGGAATTCTTCCATGGTCAGGTTGCCTGTTGTCATCTGCTGCAATTGTCATAGCCCCTTATATGTTATACCGTCATATGAGCATCTGCCTCAACAGTGACGAAAATGATAAAATAAGGGTCAGCTGATTGAACAAATGACGTTCAGAGCACCTGCGTGCATAGTTCACACAGAGGTTATGAATTAAATAGTTGGGGCCTGGAGGAGGGAGCCAGAGTCCCTCCAGTGCAGAAAACCCAAGTGGCCTCTCTCCCTGCATACTTTAGAGGGGGTCCACTGGGCCAGCGGCCAGACCTCCACTGAGCTAACTTGCTATCTAAGTGAGCATCGGGATTCAAATGCTTCAACATATAATTCTACTCATCTCTTATCTTGGAATACACACATTCAGCAAAAACTTTCATCCCATTTGCTATCTTAGTAATAAACTGAACACTTCCTCTCACAGTTCAGGCTTTTTAGGTCTGCCTTGGCAGAACTCAGCTCTCTCCTCTGGCATCTTCTAACAATGGGCCCATGGGAGGCAGCCAATGAGAATACTGTCCACCCTATACTGATAGCACAATTAGGCTCAGGGACAGTGCACTGGCTTAATTGGAGGAAAATAGCTCTTTATCTAGCTTGGGCTCATCATTGCCCTCTGCAAAACCTCCATGGCCTCAACTTTGGCATTTTGTGGAGCAAAAAGTAAGTTGAAGTTTTGGAGAACACAGGGACCTACACTGCTGCTTTTTGCAACAGAACGTGATTCAAATGCATTTTTAACTGCTTGTGTCATTTTCTAGTATCCTCACACATTATCCATGCATAATCAATAAGGTTGAGATGACAGTGGGTCTGTAGCCGTTGAACTCTTTATCAGATGTTGTGACAGAAGAGCTGAACCAAAGCTCCATCTTGCACAACAGCTGGCAGTGCACTGAACACTATAGGTGGGATGGACGAGGAATGAAAACGGCTCCAAAAAGTGTGCTGTCACAAATAATTAATTAGAAAACCAGATTTGGAAACTAACAGTCACGTGCCAGAATGACTGATGACATTTGGAATGACAACACGTCTGCAAACCACAATTTTTTTTAGCGGGCTCTACCGCCTATTGCCAACACTACAGATGGATAAATTACTATTAACATTTGCGACAAAAAACAAACAGCGTTAACAAAACCTTTTATAAAAAGTCTTACCTTACAGGAAAATGCTCTGTAAGTGGCCGAGATATCTCCGACTTGTCGTCTTCTTCTGCCAGAGAAAACTTTGCACGCAAGTCTTATGGCCCAGACTTATTCTACGGTGAGTGACTCCTTTCGCATTTTCCACAGGATCTCTCGATTTGTTATGCTATGTTATTATTATTATTATAGGCTAGTAGAGGTGGTCTGGGCGCAAACCATTGTCATAATTATTTCTTAATAAACATGCACACAGTGTCGCGGCCAAACTGCGTCAAATCAATAAAATCTTGTTTGTCACCGTGGAGGTCTCCGGTGTGCATTTTATTCCTCCTCGGCGAACACGTCACAAAGTGAAGCACCACAAATTCTGCGGAACTGTTGCTGCAAAGACAAACAGGGAGGGTTCCAGTTACATCAAAAACGCAAAGGTTTTGTCGTTGGTTTCGCGCGCATCGTTGAACCAGCCTGTCGGTCCAGAGAGGGTCCGGAGAGGGTCCGGATAGGGTCCAGAGAGGGTCCGGAGAGGGTCCAGGTGGAGGCTGTCACCGGGGTTCAGAGTGCTTCTGGAGCTGGCAGCGGTGGTCGAGTGGAGGGGGGCAGACAGCCTAAGGGATAAAGGAAGCTCGTCCTTCTCCTGTCCCGCTGCTCCAGATGCTGAGGAGGGTCTGTTCGTTTCGTTTGGTCGCAGTTACGGCCGTGTCGGTGTCTCTTTAGTACGCACTCGTGGAGACAGTGTTGATGGCAGTCTCCTCCACGAGCCTCTGAAGCGCACAGAGCTTCAGGAGGAGCCCGTCAGGACAAGCCCAGAGCCTGCCAGCTCAGCGCTTGCTTACCGCTCCGCCCACCGGGGCTGTCCTCTCCAACTCACTGCTCTCAACCATACTCTCAACACCATACTCTCAACACCATGCTCTGAACACCATACTCTGAACACAGGATCTCACGCTTTGTTATGCTATACTCAACACTATACTGAACACTATACTCTGAGCATCATACCCTGAAAACCACATACTCAATACCATACTCTGAGCACCATACTCTCAACCAAACTGTGAACAACATACTCTGAGAACCATACTCTGAGCACCATACTCTGAACAACATACTCTGAACACCATACTCTGAGCACCATACTCTGAGCACCATACTCTGAGCACCATACTCTGAACACCATACTCTGAGCACCATACTCTGAACACCATACTTTGAGCACCATACTCTGAACACCATACTCTGAGCACCATACTCTGAGCACCATACTCTGAACACCATACTCTGAGCACCATACTCTGAACACCATACTTTGAGCACCATACTCTGAACACCATACTTTGAGCACCATACTCTGAACACCATACTTTGAGCACCATACTCTGAACACCATACTCTGAACACCATACTCTGAGCACCATACTCTGAGCACCATACTCTGAACACCATACTCTGAGCACCATACTCTGAACACCATACTCTGAGCACCATACTCTGAGCACCATACTCTGAACACCATACTTTGAGCACCATACTCTGAACACCATACTCTGAGCACCATACTCTGAGCACCATACTCTGAACACCATACTCTGAGCACCATACTCTGAACACCATACTCTGAGCACCATACTCTGAACACCATACTTTGAGCACCATACTCTGAACACCATACTCTGAGCACCATACTCTGAACAACATACTCTGAACACCATACTTTGAGCACCATACTCTGAACACCATACTCTGAGCACCATACTCTGAACACCATACTCTGAGCACCATACTCTGAACACCATACTTTGAGCACCATACTCTGAACACCATACTCTGAGCACCATACTCTGAACAACATACTCTGAACACCATACTCTGAGCACCATACTCTGAACACCATACTCTGAGCACCATACTCTGAACACCATACTCTGAGCACCATACTCTGAACACCATACTCTGAACACCATACTCTGAGCACCATACTCTGAACAACATACTCTCAACACCATACTCTGAACACCATACTTTGAGCACCATACTCTTAACACCATACTTTGAGCACCATACTCTGAACACCATACTCTGAACACCATACTCTGAGAACCATACTCTGGGACTGAAGAGTCGGCTTTAAGTGTTTTTGTCTTACAGTGTGAAATGCAATTTATGACCATGTAGAAATTAAAATAAGAAGTTCAGAAAAGTGTGCGTCCAAAGAAAAAAGTATTTTAGCATGTGTAAACTTCCGCGTTCCATGGTGTGGAAATACCATGGATAAAATAAAATACTTTGTGAACCTTTGTGGACCTTTTGGCAGTAATATGTTATTGTGGACAAGAGTTCCAGTGACATGGCCTATCAGTCTTCCCCAACCTTTTTTGAGCAGTGGAACACCTTCAATCACATGGCACACCAGCTGAAACTGATACAAACTTGAAACTCTGCAGCTTTTATTAACAATACAAAGTCATTCTCATCAAAGTGTACTGTATAGTATAGAAAAACAAAGAAGTATTTCTAATATTTTTGACCAAGTAGGTAATATTGGATAATTTCCAAAGGCAGATCAAACAACATCTCAAGGCACACTCACGTGCCACGGCACTCTGGTTGAAAAACACTGGTCTTTAGCCCATGCCACCACAGTATTCACAGTTAAAGATCTTCTTCACACTCTAAAAACAGATTGGTAGATTTGAATCAGTTTTTTGGTTGTTAGTTGTTAATCAGTTTATTGGTAGTATTTATCCAACCGATCTTTTGATTAATACTGCATTTGAGAAAGACTGTTTTAAATAAAAGATTGGGTCGTGGTGCGATGCCATCGGTCTTTGCACTAGAACGGGATTTCACATCCTCCATCACCAATGTAAGGGAGGATGCAACGGGAGCCTCGCAGATAATAATTTAGAAGCACTTGGTAAAAACAACCAATCTATGAATGGTCATGTTTTTAACCAATCTATATTGGTCATACAACCAATCTAGTTGGCCAACCACCACCAATTCTCTCACACACCAGACTCAACTTGTGTTTTGCCCAAGGACACAGCCACAATTTGGCACTTTAGTCATCGTACTGTGGCACCTGATGTTCCTATTACTTAACCAATTAGAGTGGTAGTTTTTTTTTTTTCCAACAAATGTGTCTTTAGAGTGCATTACTCTGTTACAATGCATGGTGTTAAACAGTGGGCGGGTTACTTTTTGCAAGAATAACTTCCTCTCCTGTCCTCTCTCCTCCTTTATCCAGGTCCATGAAGAAACATTAATCATGCTGCATATGGACCCTATCTTGCCAAACAGTATAACTTCTTCTACAGTCTGTTGGTTCCATGAGATGGATCCCTCTCTGACCGTAGGTCTTCACAACTTTTTTCCTTGCTGATACAGGAGCGTCTATGGACAGAAGATGACCCTGACCATTTTCAGTCCTGGGTCATCTTTTATTGTATAGTCTCTTTTACAGTATCATTCCCAGTGTTTCTGCTGGAGGAGCCCTCTGGTGGTCGCTGGTGGAGGTTGGAGGCCTTGGCTTCCTTTCTCTATTTTGTGTGTGTGTGTTGTACCATATATGATATTGTATTGTATTACATTTTGACTGTTACTTTTTTGTATTGTTTGACCAAATCCTTTGGTCTGTGTGAGCAAGGGGGGTTGGACATGTATAAGTGTCTGCATCATTCTACCACTTTACTGAACATGTAAGTACAAATGTATGTCCTTTTGTTCAGTGGATTTGTGTTGTTGGTGTTCTGAAAGAAAAATCTTGATTGAATGAAAAGCGACTGTGATGTAAACAATATTAGCAGAGCTAACAGAAAACATGTCCATTCAAATGAAGAAGCTATGGAAGGCTTTCATCAAAAGCCAAATAGTGTTGGCTACTCTTAGGAGAGGCTCCTTATTTGAAGTCCACAGCGTTTAGACGCCAATGGAAAACAAAGTAGTTCTAGCGCCCGGCCAGTAGTGGGCAGTGGAACTTTACAACATGACATATGCAACTCCCAGCCCCTACCAACAGTATTTTCCTCAAAAACATCCACCTCAGGCCACCGCAAAGACGTGAAAGAATGCACCAACACCATTCTGCCTTTAACAGTAGCTGTGAAAATGGAAACTGAAACTAGGGCTTTGCGTGGTTTCATTTGTGCGAACAAAGGAGTAAAATTCTCCTTTGTGTAGCGCTTAAAGCACACGTAACTAGTTAGTGCACCCGCAGCCATTGTTGTTTGTTCTCGGCTACTGTGCATGTCCAAATGTACGTGCGGCGAGGTAGTGAGGTCATAGCAGGCAGAGAATTCACACCTTTTTCTTCACACAGCCATGAAATGGCCCCCGCGTATCTGTTCTGTTCCTGAAACACCGTCTCCATGTAAACAGGAGGCCAAACTGATACCTAATTCTAACGTTTTACTGTCGCAGCATCTCCGTCTAAACAGGGGGCTTACTTAGCTACTTAGAGCTGGCTTACATATTGAGCATACTTTTTTTTTTTTGACTTTTTTTTTTGACATTACAGCTGCAAGTCGCTTGGGGTATGTCTCTATCAGTTTTGCACATCAAGAGACTGGAATTCTTGCCCATTCTTCCTTGCAAAACAGCTCATGCTCAGTGAGGTTGGATGGAGAGCGTTTGTGAACAGCAGTCTGGACTTTGACTTGGCCATTCTAACACCTGGATACGTCTATTTGTGAACCATTCCATTGTAGATTTGGCGTTATGTTTTGGATCATTGTCCTGTTGGAAGATAAATCTACGTCCCAGTCTCAGGTCTTTTGCAGACTCCAACAGGTTTTCTTCCAGAATGGTCCTGTATTTGGCTCCAACCATCTTCCCATCAATTTTAGCCATCTTCCCTGTCCCTGCTGAAGAAAAGCAGGCCCAAACCATGATGCTGCCACCACCATGTTTGACAGTGGGGATGGTGTGTTCAGGGTGATGAGCTGTGTTGCTTTTACGCCAAACATATCGTTTTGCACTGTGGCCAAAAAGTTCGATTTTGGTTTCATCTGACCAGAGCACCTTCTTCCACATGTTTGGTGTGTCTCCCAGGTGGCTTGTGGCAAACTTTAAACGAGACCTTTTATGGATATCTTTGAGAAATGGCTTTCTTCTTGCCACTCTTCCATAAAGGCCAGATGTGTGCAGTGCACGACTGATTGTTGTCCTATGGACACTCTCCCACCTCAGCTGTAGTTATCTGCAGTTCATCCAGAGTGATTATGGGCCTCTTGTCTGCATCTCTGATCAGTCTTCTCCTTGTTTGAGATGAAAGTTTGGAGGGACGGCCGGGTCTTGGTAGATTTGCAGTGGTCTGATACTCCTTCCATTTCAATATAATTGCTTGCACAGTTTAAAGCTTGGGAAATCTTTTTCTATCCAAATCCGGCTTTAAACTTCTCCACAACAGTATCTTGGACCTGCCTGGTGTGTTCCTTTGTCTTCATGGTTCTCTCTGCGCTTTAAACAGAACCCTGAGACTATCAAAGAGCAGGTGCATTTATACGGAGACTTGATTACACACAGGTGCATTCTATTTATCATCATCAGTCATTTAGGACAACATTGGATCATTCAAAGATCCTCACTGAACTTCTGGAGTGAGTTTGCTGCACTGAAAGTAAAGGGGCCGAATAATATTGCACGCCCCACTTTTCAGTTTTTTATTTGTTAAAAAAGTTTAAATCATCCAATAAATTCCGTTCCACTTCACGATTGTGTCCCACTTGTTGTTGATTCATGACAAAAAATTAAAATTTTAAATCTTTATGTTTGAAGCCTGAAATGTGGAGAAATGTTGAAAGGTTCAAGGGGGCCAAACACTGTACCTCCAGTGGGCCACTATTGTGCATGTATCGGCCCAAACACTCAGAAACCAAGTCCATGAGGGTGATCTGAGGTCCCAACGTCCACACATGGGGCAAAGCATACACTTGGCATTTGACAACTCTGTGCTCTTCGAACATGTGACAGAGGTGATTCTGGAGACGTCATGGAGAACAGAACGTTCTGCTGCCTGCAACATCCTCCAGTATGACCGGTTTGGTGGTGGGTCAGTGAAGGTCTGGAATTTCTTTTGAGGGGCACACAGCCCTCCATGTCCTAGTTGGAAGTCCCCTGACTGCTATTAGGTAGTGGGGTGAGATCCTCAAACCCATTGACCAAAAAATGTGTGTCCGCAGTTCCTGCATGATGAGGGCATACAGCATTAATCAATAAAGTATTTTGACTACAAGATCCTATTCGTTGAGTTTTGTTTGGTAACGTGTTACCTGTTCCGTATGTGAAGAAATACATAATAAAGATACACGCTGCTCTAATTTCACCCTAAACCCGATACGCAATAGCGAGGTGAGATAAATAGTTCTTTGTTTACATACAGTGCTGCTCTGTGCGGAAGGAGGCGGTCGGTAGTGCAGTAGTGTGACTCGTACCAGCTGTTTCCCGCCTTGAAAGCCATCCCATCAGCTGCACACACGCGCACACGCACACGCACGCATGCAGAGGGAGAAAGGACTGGAGGGAGGGAGACGAGCGCCACACACAACGAGGGAACCCCATCAGCTGGAAGACGGGGAACATTACAACTCTCAGCAGCCGCAAACTACAGCGCTACTACATGGACAGATTTATGTTTGAGGATAACTCTGCGTTACATTCTATGTAGAACGGGATCGCTTTTATTTAAATCAAGAGCTTTTGTTTCGTAGATTTGGGGAAGGGGGGTCCAAACTGGTGATTGGTGAGCATGGAGTATTTCATGGTACCAGCCCAGAAGGTGCCTTCTTTGCAACATTTTAGGAAAACGGAGAAAGAAGTGATTGGAGGTCTCTGCAGGTACGTACACACGCACAACTGCATATGCAGGGAGTAGAAGTCATCTGTTTGTGAGTAGGGCGCGCTTAGGGAACACGCTTCATCAGATGTTATTGTGTACACGACCTCCACTGGCCAGCTGCGGGCATCAAAAACGACCCCACACAAGAAGTAGTAGGATCAGCTTCGGCTACAACAAACATGTGTCTAGTAAATTCGCTTTTATACTCAGACATGGGGTATTTTAGGGCTAACAAACATTAACCACGTGGTACTGCACGCTTACTCATCTTGAGAGCGCGTCCGCAGTTTATTTATCCTTAAATTATTCTCAAGTGTCACTAGTGAACATTTGCATCACAAAGTGAGTGCTTCTGCCTGCGGCTGTCACCGTTGGGGTATAGTCTGCTTTCCAGTCACTCGATACGTTTACCTCAAACCGATCAGAAGTTATTGTGGGTAGTGCGGCCATGCTTGTGGCTTAATGATAAAAGCGAAAGAACTGGACCCGTTTATGTTACAGGATAACAATAAAACACATAAGTATATACCAACACGTATTGTTTTTTGTGAAGGTTTAGTTGTATACCGCCACATCTTGTGCACGGTCGCTTTGCCGCTCAAGCGCCTCTCGCATTGCGTCTTTTCACGTCGGTCCTCTGCCATGCGCCTGCCGCATTGTTGTAATGGCGGAGGACATGAGTGTGCTTGGAGAACGCGTTCGCAGTGTTGGACTCTCTCTAGCGAAGGTGCTAAAGACTATCGAATATATCTATCAATATGTGTGTTATATCGAACCATTGCCCACGCGTAGAGGCAATTAAGTAAACGGTGATCAATACAAGGGGGTGTGTTGTCACGGAAGGCCCTACATACGTCTTCGCAGCTCGTGTTGAAAACGAAAACAGGCGCGGAGGGATACAAGCACAGCTGCTGGATGGTGACGCGGCATTCTGGGAAATGTAGTCTTCTGGTTCAATACAAAACTTAACGGTCTCATTTCTCGATATTAGAAACTACTAGCTACTACCTCGTCCAGTCCATTGGGGTCATACAAAAATACTTCTTTCCTTGTCCTTTCTTCTAATGTTTTAATGAAATAATGGCCTTAAAGGTGTCACATTTCACAGCCCCCAAACCTGGACCTACCCTGTTTTAGGTAAAAGCACAAGGAAGGTGGTATTTTGTTGAACATGGAAGCAGCCTAGCGATAGTAAATAGGTAGAGGATAGCTCGTACAGCCTCATGCATCCTTATAGGCCACATACAGTCAGTGCATTCAAGATTTCAAGATTCAAGATTAATTTATTATGTCCCGTAGGAAACTAGTCTTGGACTCACAGGCTGCAACATTGAAAATACACATAAGACAGACATAAAACACAACACAGTAACACCGACATAAACCATCACCGCTCTGCTCGATGGCCTGCATTCAGGAGGTTCACAGATATGGGTAGGAATGAGTTCTTATACCGGTTTAGATATCGTTTCTTATTTCTAGTGGGTACTCTGTAGCGGCGGCCTGATGGGAGGAGCTCATATTGAGAGTGGAGGACATGGGAGGGGTCTGAGGTGATTTTCCTGGCCTGTCTAATTACAGTCTCCTCAAATATCTGTTGCAGAGATGGATGCTCCCTCACTCCCATGACTTTAAAGGCTGTGCGCACTAATCTGTAAAGTTCTGCTTTTGTTTTAACAGTCAAATTCCCAAACCACACACACATACCATATCTTATTACACTCTCAATTACAGCATGATAAAATAGCGTCATTATTTTCTGTTCAACTCCAAAAAGTCTTAATCTCCGCAGGAAATAGAGTCTTTGTTGAACTCTGCTGCAGACAGAGTTCACGTGTACATCCCAGACCAGACTTGAGTCGATGTGGACTCCCAGGTATTTATATGAGTGTACCTGTGTTACCGCTGAGCCATGGATAGAGAGCGGAGTGTGATTTCCAAGATGTCCGGGGTCAAAGATGATTTCTTCTGTCTTCTTTATGTTGATGATAAGATGGTGGTCCTCGCACCAGTGTACAAAATGCTCCACCTGCAGATTGTATTCGGTAGTGTCTGTGTCCTTGTCCATGAGTCCTAATAAAACAGTGTCATCTGAAAATTTGATGATTAAAGTGCTGGAATGGCCGCTGGTGCAGTCGTTTGTGTACAGTGTGAAGAGGAGCGGTGAGCTGACACAGCCCTGGGGCGCTCCTGTGTTGATGGTCTTCATGTCAGACAGTGTATGGTTCACTCTAACCTGCTGGCTCCTGTTGGAAAGGAATGAGTGATACCATCGGATTATGTATGGGTTGACGGACATTTGTTGAAGTTTTTTGAGAAGGATGTGTGGTTGCAGAGTGTTAAACGCTGAGCTGAAGTCGATAAACAGCAGCCTGGCATATGCTTTAGGGTGTTCCAGGTGTTGGAGAACATTATGCACTGCTGTTATCACTGCGTCGTCAGTGCCTCGATTGTTTTTATAAGCAAATTGGTAGGGGTCCAACTTGCTTCCTATGTCTGACTTCAGCTCTCTTACCATCAGCTTCTCCAGGCACTTCATAACATTGGAGGTCAAGGCTATGGGCCTATAGTCATTGTCCTCTTTTGGGACAGGTATTTTAGGGACAGGGATGATGGTTGCAGTTTTCCATTGGGATGGTATGATGTGTGAGTCCACTGACCTCTGGAAGACAGGGGGCCAAGCTGGTGAGAGTTCCTCTGCACATGTCTTCAGGAGGAAGGCTGAGATACCATCGGGGCCAGTAGCTTTATTAGTGTTAAACATCTTAAAGATTTTTGTGACCTCCTCAGCACTGATGTCAATTTTTGAGGCTCCCTGGACTCTTGAGTTGATTATTGTTCTATGACAATCAGCAGAAAAATCATGCGCCTCATGCCTCAAATAAAAAGTATTCAAATCATTTGCCATTTTTCTTCCGTCTGTTGCACACAGGGGCTTCTTGCTGGGAGTCATATTCGTGATGGTTTTCATGGTGGCCCACATCTTCCTTGTGTCCCCGTTCCTGAAATTATTTTCAATTGTGTCCTTATATTGTTGTTTTTTATCATTGATCTTCTGTTTTAGCTCCCGTTGTATGGATCTCATTTCTACATGGTCATTGTTCCTAAATGCAGCCTTCTTACGTAGAATGCAATCCTTAACATCTTTTGTGATGTAGGATTTGTTGTTTGGGTAGAATTTCATTGTCTTTGTGGGTATAACAGCATCAACACAAAAATGTATGTATGACGTTATAACTTCTGTGGTTTTATCTAGGTCAGGCTCATGGAACACATCCCAATCTGTACTTAAGTAACAGCCCTTTAATGTGTCAATACTTTCATTTGTCCAAACCTTAACAGTTTTTATCGTGGGTTTGCTCCTTTTAAGGACAGTGCGATATGTAGGAATAAGATGTACTGTATTATGGTCAGAGTTGGACAAGGGTGGCTTAGCTTTTGCTGTATATGCATTTTTAGTATTTCCATAGCATTTATCTAGTATTTTGTCCTTCCTAGTGAAGCATTTCACGTATTGTTCAAAACCAGGTAGGGAAAAATCCAGTTTGCAGTGATTGAAGTCCCCTAAGATCAGTACTGGGGCATCAGGTGTATGTTGTATGTGCATGAGGCTCTTTTTTTTTAAAGTGTGGGAATTTTGCATGGGGGTACAGTATACTGTACTATTGCAGGTGAGCATACTTCAAAGTTCCGAACCAGCATATTGGCTCGTCCATAAAGCATACGGCACTGTCTGTATATGTCTCCATCATTACATAAGTGAGCAGAGATGTAGTGTCCCAACTATTTGTATAGAAGTTGGTAAAGGACACTTTGGAGTCTTTCTTGCTCCGGACAAACGTGATGTTACTCTTACTAGCAATATATTTTTTATCAAATTCATATCCAACTACTGCAGTACAAACCTGCAACCCTTTCCACACTGACTTAGCCGCATTAGCAGATCATCCATATCCACATTGTATAAACAGGGAGACAATAGTCTGCTCTGCTTCAAGTCATTTGACGCCCTAAAAGGGGTGGAGACAGTCACTCCATTTTTTCATAGACATTTTGTTAGGCATACCAAAATAATATGATTCTAATCAGACATTGAGGAACACCTCAGTTGCTTAACATAAAAAATAACTTCACATTCCTACGATTATACATCTCTAACAGCTCTTTCATAGCAACTTTGCACAAGTCGTACGATGTTTGGGTGTAAAGCCAAACTGATTTTCACATGTCAGCAAGTGCATTTCCATTGTATTTACAAAAGTACTGGCCAGGGCTTTAGGGCCTGTAGTTGTCTTTACTGTTAACTTTTTCAGATTCTTCTTTGATAACCACCTTTGTCTTTTACAGCTGGTATATAGTCATGATTAACTAAAATGTATAGTTTTGACTTTTCAAAATTAATAAAAGAAGTATCCATGAAAAGGGCTTTAATAGTTTCAATGAGCGAGCTGAGATGTTTCAGTATTAATTGAAATTATTAGTAGCTACAATAGACTCACTCTCTCTACCTTTTCTGCTTCAGTTTGGCCAATCTTCCTCTAACACCTGAAACAGCCCGGGACCAGGAAAGGCGAATACGCAGAGAGATCGCCAACAGCAACGAGCGTCGGCGTATGCAAAGCATCAATGCTGGTTTCCAATCACTGAAAACCCTTATTCCGCACAGTGATGGAGAGAAGCTCAGCAAGGTGGGTCATGTTCTGGTTGGTTTTAGAACAAAGAAAACTGAACTACATCCCTCTTATTATTTTGTCCTCATCTTTACAGGCTGCTATTCTGCAACAAACCTCGGACTATATTTTTACCTTAGAGCAGGAGAAGACACGGCTTTTGCAACAAAACAGTCAGCTCAAACAAATCATACAAGTAAATGACCACGTTAGTAACTGGGAATATGATGAATCAACACATTTTAAATGATTATGTAAAAGTACCTTTTCTGTGTGTTCTGCAGGAATTAAGTGGTTCATCGCCTAAAAGGAGGCGCGCTGAAGAGAAGGATGAGGGGATTGGTTCTCCTGACATTCTGGAGGAGGAGAAGACTGAAGATCTCAAACGTGAGATGATTGAGCTGAGGCAGCAGCTGGAGAGAGAGCGATCGATTCGGATGCTCCTGGAAGAACAAGTAATTTATTGTTACAATGGAACATAACTACTTAAACATAACATAACATTCATCTTTGTCTGTCAGGTGTGTTCTCTGGATGCCCAGTTATATCCTGATCATCAAACACAAAGTCTAGTTCATCTGCAGCTGGAGCGGCGCCCCACTGGAGCACACAGCCCACAGGTCTGGAAATAAACGGTGCCTTCAAAGTACAGTGTATTCTTACCCCATGAACTTTTCTACAATGTTTCGTGATTTTTATATGAAAGACCAACTCCAAATGTCAATAAGTGACTTCTTTTTAATAACATTTATAATGGGTAGCGTGCACAAGTATCCTCAGCTGCAGTTACAGATATAATTACCAGTTTTGTGTGTGTGTGTGTGTGTGTGTAATATATATGATTTTCCAGGTGCATCCACCAACCACCCCTCCTGCTCCCACTCACCATGCTACAGTTATTGTCCCTGCTCCGGTCCAACCTCCACAGCCTCATCACGTCACCGTGGTAACCATGTGCCCTGCCTCTGTTATCAACACAGCATCCACATCGAGACAGAATCTTGACACCATTGTTCAAGTGAGCTGCTTTCACAAATGTGAACGCAACGTTAACCACCAGAGAGCGCCAGACTGAAATTTTTCTTTGCAGGCAATCCAGCATATTGAAGGCACCCAGGGTAAAACTAGTGTGGGTGAAGAGGAGCAGAGGAGAGCTGTTATTGTGACTTCAGGACGTCGTCTTTCAGAAGCTGCTGGCTCAGACTCAGCTTCCAGCATTGACGGGCCAGATGACTGCTCACTGCCCTGAGGCGGACTTCTCCTTTTGTTCTGCATGCAGTACGCACTCACACACACTTACACGCTCATCAGCAACATGAGGACCTTCAGAACGCTGACAAACTGACTAAAGCACTCTTTTAAGATTCTCATCAGCCCTGATGTTTAGACTGAATCAATCCAACATCGCATTTGTGTACCCCAACTTTAAACTTTAACCAGTGGAAACAGGATTTTATTTTCCTCTGATATATGTAAAACCTTTTTAAAGACTCATCATGCAGAGTTGAATATTGCACCGAACCAGCTTTATGGGTCTTGAGTATATTTGTCTTTATATCCCCCAGAGTGACCATATTTTATATGCCCTGAATTCTCTAAGTGAGAATTTCAAGAATGTAACAGATTTATGCACCATGTTGACTGTTTTCATGACTTAATGGTGCTAACAGAAAATCCAACATGGTGTAGGAGTGCACTTAATAATTAATTACTACTTTGTCTTTTTGCCTTTTTTATTTACCATTTTACTGGGGCTGGGTTCCCTGTAATCTCATGTTGGTGCATGTTTCTTTCAGTCTTTGCCTGAATGCAATGAATACTGTGCTTTGATTTCGACTAGGGGTTGATCAATTATTGGCCAATTTATAGATTGTTTCTTTTTTATATGCAGCAAGACTCCATTTGCTCATCAGTCTTCTTGAGCACATTCCTTATAAGTGTAGTCCAGCCTACTGGTCAAACAAAAATATAAACACAAACATTTAATGTATTAGTCTATTGCGAGACACAAGAGCTGTACCAGCACTTGTGTTGAACTGTTTCATGTAGTGTGGTTTATTTCTGTCTAAAGCAACTAAATAGCAGGACTCTTCATTTTGATAAAATTGTATAAAATATCCACCCCATAACCAGTGCTTTATCCCTTCAATTCTCCTGTTACATCACATCCAGAATCAGTGGAACAGAATGCTATTCGTGATCTGTTTTGTTAAAAAAACATATGCTCCAGGCATTTATCATAGCTGCAGTATATTAATATTGCAATATTGTGATTCTAAAAAAGTTGAAACCAATAAGTTCACTGTTACTGCAAGTAAATATCTGCTCTACATCGGTAATCAGATGTAGAGCCAAGCTTGACTACTATTGCCCCAGAATGAAAAAACATTGGTCAACACCTAATATTCACACTGTTCATGACTTAAAATGTTCCTGTCTGCTTTCATGAGACAAACATGGGCACTTTTATCCCAGCAAGTTACTCTTATAGAATTAGCTCAATGTAAGCCTGGCACCTTGTCTTGTAACCACTTCACATTTCAAACAATACTGTTTTTGATTAATTTGAAGAGCTTGTTCATCATCTATTTCAGTGTAGTTTAACGTCCAATGAGAGGAAGGTGCATATAAGTTGCCTCCGTTTTTGAAGTATTAGACAATTAATGTCTGTAGACTGTAGAAGGAGTGGACTAACACCGTTCTGATGTTACCACAGCATTTGGCTTTTCCCAGGAAGACCCCAATCAGAGCTGACTCAAAAAGGCTCCATGGATGAGAATCTGGAGCCAAATTAGCTAATTAACTATCTAGCAACCAAAGAGCCAATCAGGAGCCGAATCCTGGAATAGAAGACAATATTAAAATAAACACACCTAAATCGTACAGTGTGTTAAACCACTGACTTTTTAGCCCAAACACCGAGCAGGAGAAAAACTGCTGGAACTGGAGCTCAGGGTAAGCATTGTCCACTTGTGGGTACAGGCTGTTAACAGCACAGATGCTTTGTTCATTCTCTGAAATTCTTGTTTCCTTACCTTGTATGTTCTTAAGGCCTTTCTGGGGTGGTACTCCAAGACCCAGATAGACATGTGGCATGTAGCCTCATGGTGCGGGGAGGCACTGTGACAATAGCCTTAGCACAGACCCAACAGGTGTGTGCATACACCTCTCTGCCCTCTGGTTTTACACTATGAGAGGCTTTTACACCCTGGGGGTGTTCATAATACTGAAAACCTTTGCTGGTATATTGATCAGATGCAAGGATGCTTGTTCCAAAAGGAGTGTACTGTGTCATTCTAGATGTAGATTTGCACAGAGTGCACTCATGCGGAGCTTGTAAACATTCCATACCGTAATTTCGGCCCTGCACATTCAGACCAGCAAAAAATTGGTCTGGTACGTACAAGATTTTACTGCAGCTTTTGCCATAATTTCAAAGTATAATAACTTTGTTATGCATAGATGGAGCTGCTGGACAGATCATGTGTTCCGGTTCAACACATTACATCTATCATAGAAATGCCCTTTAAATATATTGATGTCAGCTGCACTGTAGCCTATTGAACAAAATGAGGGGAGCATATTATAAAAATGAAAAGGGCAAATTTAATGTTTTAAAGCCCTTTTGTTGTCGTTCTTTTTTCCTTTTTAACGCATTGACATATCAGTGGATAGAGGGCCTGGCAGATGAAAATTATTAAGCACTTGTTGAGAAGATCTTTGTATTAGAGGAAGAAGGCTTTCTATACTGTTTCTATTCGAGGTAAAGAGCTAAATATTTTACAGCAGTGTATCTTTTTTCCCCCACATTGTAATGCTTTTTTTATGTTGCCAACTTTTATGATTTCAATTTGTTGTCTTTTTTACCTGTCTATGTATACAGTCATTAAGAAGCTATTTTTTTTAAGACATTTTTTGGGGAAAAGAGGCTTGTGCCTTTGTAAAGACAGAATAATAAAGTTTGTACCTTGTTTTTTACAGTTTAGGCTTTGAGTCTTTTATTGACATGGGTGCCAGTTATCATTATATCAACATATATATATAGTATAATATTATTTAAATTATATGTATATAATATATATGCAATACAGAATAATATAAAAGAAAAAAATACTTCAATGTACACTGTAAACAAAGAGGAAAAAAATGCATTGGTTTTGTATAGCACTTTTTTGGAAACTCAAACGTTTCACATTTCATTATTCTTTCACTCCATACACGGTGGTGATAAACTACGACTGTAGCCACAGCTGCCCTGGGGAACACTGACTGAAGCGAGGCAACCAGTATGTGCCATCAGCCTGGCCCCTCTGACCACCACACACACACACACACACACACACACAAGGTAATGTGGGGTAATCCACAGTGGCCCCTGGTGTCCCCAGAGGTCTCCCATCACAGTACTAACCAGGCCCTGCCCTGTACAGAGAGGAACTTCATACAAAAGTTTAATACAATCTATTATTTAAAAGCTAAATTTGCAAATGTTTGCTTAAGTCTATAGCGGTCACCTGATGAATTTCTAATTGCTCACCATTTATTGCAGCGATTGATGACCAGGCAGTGAACTCTGAATAGGACAATATGCTCCCACACTTCTCACATGCAGACCAGCAGCTGGCAGCCTCAGTGCCCGCCTCTCGCCTTTGGCCTTCCTCACCACAGTATATATAGTTTGTGAAACTGTCAGAGTTCTCCTGGCAGCCATCATGAAGGGGACGCTCGCAATCTGCTGTCTGCTCTCTCTGCTTCTCTTGCAGGCCGCTGCAGGTAAGAATACAAAACAAACATTTATACACAGCCACAATTGTATGTGTACAATTAATATTATTTTGAAAACAAAGCATAATTAATGCAAAGCATAGCTGCCATTAGAGTTTTTGGTGAAAATCAAAAATTCGGAGATCATTTTGTAGATATTTTGTGCTATATTATTGTTGCCTTGATTAAAACATGGACATTATACTGCCAAGGATAGAATTAAATACCAGACGATGATAGTAATCCATATTTATAACCATCTTTTTGAAGCGTCAACTATTCTAAAACCATCCCACATTATTACTGAATGTGCCACGCTGTAAATTAGGATGTCTTTAATTGTGCCTTGTCAACACATCTGTTTATTTATTGTAAGTATTTCAATGTGTGAACAGTAGAGTGGCAGTGAGCGAGTGAACAATCTCTGTTTTAGATCCCATTCATAACTTTGTCTTCCGAGTTATGAATGGGATTTTTGGTGCAGGGGACTTAAGCAAACAAAACAGTAAAATCACAGCTAAATCTACGTTCTGGTTGCTGCTTCTCCAGATTGTCCATATTTACATTTTTCATTCATCTGCCCTTGTTCAGCGTGTCACCCTTGTCTGTCCTTGGGGTTTGGCTTGACTGTCCAGCCCAGGCCCATGTAGTCAAGGCCTTAGTCAGATGTCTAAGATTGGAAGGCCTTCTGAAACCCTACACTGTCCAGTGCAGCTCCGCTCGTCCCTCTCTCGCTCACTGCCCTCACCAGGCTTTTGATATGCTGCACAGCTGCTGTCACTCTGCACTGTCACAAACGCGGCTTATTCCCAGCAGTTGGCCTTTTAGGGACACAGTTTCCCCAGACTATTGTAATAGCTCTCACAGTGTATATGTAAGGTGGAAGTCAGCGTGAATAACAAAAACTTACACTGTATTAACCACATTTTAGACACTCAGGACATTCAAGAGAAATAATCGCACTACTAATTAATGAATTGGCTCAAACTGGCAGTGGTAGACAACCATTGGTTCCTCTTACGCCCACACACCCTTCAGATTAATGCAAGGTAATGCAGGTGAAATGTCTAGCCTTTAGCACAACAGGAGCTGTGGCATCTGGAATCATCAATGTATTGACCACTACTCAAGAGATGTGACAAGATTAGGCTTTGACAAGCTTGTATGGCTTCACATTGTAAAATAACAATACTTACAACTGTACTTGTATGGTGCATGTAGCTAGTATTCTAAAGACGCTCATAAATGTTTGTCCTTCCTACCTTTTAAAAGCCGTACTTCATCTATTCTCAGAAGCTAATCAAGGGCTTGCTTAAAGGGAAACAGGTGCCAAAGTGGGAACCATTGTGTTCTTAGACACTGCTAGCAGTGAATGGATGATGGTTGGAGTGGCTAATGAAGCTAAGACGCAGCTGTGACGGAAACTTCTGCAAAGTGTGGAGTGAATTATTATTGTACAACATTGAAAGAGTCTGGAGAAGCACTGTATTAATTGAGCTCATAATGGATCATGAATGTAAAGTTTTTCAAAAAAATCCTCAGTGCTGGAAACCTAAACTAAGTTGTTGCTGTGATCGGAACATGTGCAGGATGTTCCTCTGTTTGTCGCGGACACCAGACTGGCTCCATCTCCACATCAGACTTGAACCAAGGGCACAGCATGTCCTTCACATGATTCAGATGGGAGACAGAGATCAACACCTCTATGCAAAGAACTCCCTTCTCTTTGTTTTCTGTCACTTTTGTCAGACCATTATCAGCCCCTGTTAAATCAAGTATACATTTTAAAACAATCAGAACATGTATTTTCCATGTTCACGGAAGAATACAGTATAATTAGGCTAAATGTTAAACTGATAGACTCACTCAGAGCCTTAAAATAGGATGCAGCCACTGTGCCTCTTGCTCCGGCGCATGAGCCCTGGTGGGATATTTGTGAGGATGGGGGCAGCTCCAGCACCTGTTGCCATCTGTGTACCACACCCGCCTCACACCTCTATTTGTGACAGAAAGCACACATTCTTCTGCTGGCTCTGCTTATGATGTACTCACTTGTCACCATGCGTTACATTCAGCTTAATAGACAATCACAGATTTTTTTTGTTTTTTTGCTTGATTTAGGAAGGAGATTGTGTGCAAAAACACAACCATTCTAGTGAATACTGGTGGTAGAATTGTCAAAAATATATTCATAAAGACAAATATTTGCATCTATATTCACTCTTTTGTCCTTTACTCATGATATATACCAGAGGAATTCCCTGAGTCTGAGTTACTTGAGCCTAAAGCTCAGATGAAATCCTGGGGCTTCCCTCTGCTACTCTCCTCATATTCACTTTAATTCAATTAGCAGAGGGCTGCAGCTAAACATGATCTGTAGGTGACACAAGTGTACACTGGAGATAAAGTAGAATCTCTACATTTGGCTTAACTGAAGAACAGTTATGATAAATGATCCACCCTGGCCTCAAAAGGGAATTAAAAAATCTTGTAATTGGGAATGTATTTTAAGAGTGCAGTCTAGAGTATCTGAATATGTTGGTTTTATTTTAAAGTATCAGAAATGAATGTCACAGACAGTTCCACCTGTCCCACCATCAGGAAATATTGAAGTTGCATGTACTTTCCGCAGCTCAGCAGGAGAGGGTGGTCGGCCTCATATCGTCATTCACTCTGGATGTAGTTTATAAGTGGAGTGTTTCTCAAATCAGCCAGCGTTGTGAGGCAACGGCGTTTGCAAAGACACATGTCCAAGCCGCAGATGTCAAGGGTTCAACTCTCCTGGCGCCTGCAGGGTTAATTTTGAGTGCTGATTCAAGGCGCGCCATGTGTAGGCAAAACAAGCTGTGACTCCTGCGCTTTGCTGCCCAGTGCAGCTGAGGGTGTTAACAAGTTAACAACACTTAAGGCTGCTCGTATGGACAGTGTTAAAAGACATTTCAGACGCTTCAACCCAGTCACACCATCAGGGAACATACATAGTGCAATATTGTAGATTATTTCCCTGCAGAATATCTTTGCTGGTTAATGTTTACTGTCCCTGTTGATGGTGCATTTACATGTTGAATGTAGGGTAGTTCCTTTTGTTGGGTCACTTTCTTCATACCCATGAATTATATCTTTGTGGAGCAAAGGTATCGTAGAAAACATAGTGTCCAAGCAGGAAACTTACACTTTATCAAAGTAATACGCTGTATACGTTGTCACATGTGACAAACACGTTGCCATGGGGATCTACACACATGGAAACCCTGCAAAGACCACAGATTTCCAAGTTAATGGGGTCTTCACATCCTATCTACACGCCAAACCACAGCTGTCCGTGGAGATAAACAGACACTCAAACACAAAGTCACACACACGAGACGATCTCATTACCCCCCCACGGGGAAACTTGAAGAATATATAATTATAAAGGCATTGCCTTTGAGTCTTCCCAGAGGAGCTAAAGCTGAAGGTGTGGACCAGGACTTTCTGACAGCCTTCAGCCACAGACTGAGGCTGGACAGTGGTACTCTTGGTTGGAGCTTGGAGTATGCGGACACATCGCACCACAGAATACCTCTGTGATAATGGTGTAAATATAGAAAACTATAGGCAGAGGACATAGAGAGAGGATTGTACAACTGACCTGTGTATTAGCGTTGGGAACAATGAGTCCAGCTCTCCTCTGTGTACTGGGGCAGGGTAGTCCCTCTGTGGCTTTTATCTGTTATCAGAGGTATGGTGAGGCCAAACAGAGCTCTTTGTGTGATTATTTTTGGCCTTGTCCTTCTAAATAAAGAGCTGACAGCATTAACAGCTGTGATTTAAGTAATATGATAGTCCCACATTTGCCCATGCTCTTATTAGAGTTTCAGCAGCTCATACATATGAGCTCTAAATTTATTTCATTCTTATTTTTGTTTTGTTTTTTTCAGAAGAGGATGCTGTTACGACTGAGCCACTCAGGGACAGATCACACATTGATGAAACACTAAGACTTGCAACTGAAGAGAAAGCTAATGACTATACAGGTGAAAAAGTCCAACTTTCTAAACTTTCTTTCAACAAACACAAATATTCCTTCCTTCTACTGAACCTCATCTCCCAATGACATTGCAGCGGCTCTGCAAAAACTTAGACAGATCTACCACACTTCCATCAAGCCCATGGAGCAGGCATACAAGTACAACGAGCTCCGCCAGCACGAGATCTCAGGTAAGAGCGAGTTCAAAAGCATATCTGTGTTCTGATTTAAGGAGTGGCATTGTGTCGTATGGTTTGTGAAGACTTATCTCTAAGCTGCCAAACATAGTTTCATTTCAACATTTCTTTCCCTTTATTGCCTTTTAATTAATATTCAACAAAGTAATTATTAATTGTGTGTTAAAGTCAAGCTGTCATTCATATACTAAACAAATAAATAGTCCAGGCAAAATAGCATTTTGAGATGAACAAATTGCAATAGTACTTTCACCTTAAATCATATATTCATGTTCAATTATTTATTTGAAAATTACTTCAAATTAAACTAATCATATATGCACAAAATCATGTATTACTAACGTATAGTGAATTTGATATTCAAAGACTTTTATTGTATAAACTTGTAAGACATAAAAGGTAATTTTTCATGTCTATAAGCCTTTTGTAGCCATGTTTGATTTTCATATTCAAATACATTTTAAATGGATATTAAATTTTTACTTTTCATGGCTAGACCCAGTGTTTTCAAGTCCAAGTTTATTATAGTAGGAGTAAAAGAGGGAAAAGTACATTCAGGTGTAATTGTCTAGCCGTATAGGCACACATCTTGAATTATGGAAAATTAAACTTATTTTCCTAACATTTCGTACGGCCGTTAGTATGTTGTTCTGGACACCTCATAGAAATTATTGATGGTGAAAAAACATGCTTTTGTAATTTACAACTTTTTTAGGTCCAAAATAAAGCAATTTGCCTGGACTATAAAGACACTCAATAAATAATGTATTCATAATATTTATGTATTACAGTATTAAAACAGCGTCATTGCTTGTCCATGTTTGATAAATGGGGTCAAATATGGATGTCTTTCATGCACTCTTTGATAGCACCCTTCATCCCTGTCCTTCACACACTGTTCCCCTCATCTAACAGCCTACCCTGGACGAACCCTAGGCGACCAGGCAACAGGTGGGTGTGGGCTTACCTTTGTGCATGGCAAAGCCGCCTCCTCCTTTCCCTCCATTTGTCATCATGCCTTCGCAAATGCACATGGTTCTACTCGCCAAATAAAGATCCATTCATCTGGAAGTCACAATAAAACAAGTGAACAAGTAATTATCCAGATAACATAATAAAATAAAGGAAAGAAATTACCAAACAGAATATTATTATTATAGTATGAAGCATGTGCTCTTCTGACCAAAACAGGTCATGCTTTACTGTGCAGGGTCTATCCTGTGTACTTTAAGGTGATTTGTTAATTGCTTGAAACGCCTTTTCCATGTACAAAGAACTCTAATACCAACCAGCATCTGTATCTGCTTGCTTTTTGGGAAATTATGATAAAGCTGTAATTAAATGTGTCTGGCTGATTCCTCTTGTTGTGCTTTGCTGTTTGTGAATGATAAGTTTAAAATATATCAGCTGAAAACAAATCAATATGTACTTTGATTTTGTATGTGCAGATGGAGAGATTACATCCAAGCCAATGGTGCTATTCCTGGGACCGTGGAGTGTAGGAAAGTCCTCAATGATCAATTACCTCCTGGGTTTGCATGAAAGCCAGTATCAGCTATACACAGGTACAGAGCCTTTTGTGTCCCCTTAATGTTTCACATCTCAAATACACACAATTCCAGACACTATAATCTGTTCATCTTAAATTATTGTATAAAATGGCCATTGTATAATTTGTAGCCCTGTTTCAAAACAATTGGACTGAAGTACCCAAATTAGTCAGAATATCAAGATGTCTCCTTCTGAACCTCTACAGGAGCCGAGCCCACCACATCTGAGTTCACTGTTATCATGCACGGAGAGAAGATCCGATCGGTAGAAGGCATTGTGATGGCTGCAGACAGCTCTCGTTCCTTCTCCCCCCTTGAGAAGTTTGGACAGAATTTCCTGGAGAAGCTCATTGGTATTGAGATGCCCCACAAAATGCTTGAGCGTGTGACTTTTGTAGACACACCAGGAATCATTGAAAATCGCAAGCAGCAGGAACGAGGTGACATTCTGTTTGTGTAAAAAGAGTAATCTACTGTTTATATGCAACATATTAATCAGTATTTTGTTTGGTCATTCAGGCTACCCTTTCAATGATGTTTGCCAATGGTTTATTGACCGTGCTGACCTGATCTTTGTGGTGTTCGATCCCACTAAACTGGATGTGGGCATGGAGTTGGAGATGCTCTTCAGGCAGCTGAAGGGACGTGAGTCTCAGATTCGCATCATCCTGAACAAGGCCGACCACCTGGTCACACAAGATCTCATGAGGGTCTATGGAGCCCTCTTCTGGAGCTTGGCACCTCTGATCAATGTGACAGAACCTCCTCGTGTCTATGTCAGCTCCTTCTGGCCGTATGACTATGCTCCTGACACCAGCAGGGAGCTCTTCAAGAAGGAGGAGATCTCTCTCCTAGAGGACCTCAACCAGGTCATTGAGAACCGCTTGGAGAACAAAATTGCCTTCATCCGCCAGCACGCCATTCGAGTGCGCATCCACAGCCTGCTGGTTGACCGATATGTTCAAACCTTCAAAGACAAGATGAGCTTCTTCAGTGACCCTGAGCTGGTCTTCAAAGAGATTGTTGATGACCCAGACAAGTTCTTTATTTTCAAGTCTATTTTAGCCAAGACCAATGTCAGTAAGTTCGACCTGCCAAATCGTGACGCATATCGTGACTTTTTTGGCATCAACCCCATTGCGAGCTTTAAGCCTTTGTCCACTCAGTGCTCCTACATTGGGGGCTGTTTGTTGGAAAAAATAGAGAAGGCCATCACCCATGAGCTACCTGCTCTTCTGAGCAGCCTTAACTCTGGAAAGCAGCCTGGCCTGTCCTCCTGTGAAGTTACAGGCTGTGGGGAAAAGCCAAAGAACCGCTATCGGAAAAACTGAACTGATGAATGTGAGTTGGAAGTGAAGGGTGCTACGACAAGGCTGGTATTTAGAGTGCCCGAGTTCTTAACTGGAACAATGAATGAAATTGTGTTTTACTGAATGAGACAATGCAGTGGAGGACGGATAGACCTAGGAGTAGAGACAAGGCAGCTTAAGGGCACAACTGTTAGAAATGTAACATCATGCAAATAAAGATTATAGATACAATATAACACTGAACGGAACTGTTCAAACAAAGGGGAGAAAAGAGGTTCAATATGTATTTCACTAACACCGCAAAAGTTGTTTTTTGCAAAATGTGGCAACTACTGAAAAGCAGAAACAAAGTTTGTTAGAACATTATTACAGTGGGTATCAGTGATTCATTTAACTCCGTTATCAATGCTCATGGATTGTTGTCAATCTTCACATTGTTGTTTTGAAGAAGCAGAGGTCAGGGGCCACGGCTTAATATGAGGGTTTGTTCTGTTTCATCTGTTTTACTGTTTTTGTTTAAGTCCATCCAAGTGTTATTATTTCATTGCCTTAAGCTTCCAGAAAGCTGAATGACCACAAAAATAACATGGAGGGATGTGTCTGTATTTATTTATGACATTGCACATGTAAAGCTTAATTTTGTACTTAAGCAGAGAAGAAAATGTGTACTATTCCAAGTTTAAACATTTTGCTAAGTGATCCCACTAGACTGGGTTTTGGAGGTGGCGGCCCCTGACCTCTGTGGTGATATAAGCTGACTTCACTACATTTGATCGATGCAATGGCATTTTAAACCTACCTCAAAATATTCAGCAGAATCCTGCCATGGCATGTGGACATTACTAAGATAATGTATACTATAGAGCGGGTAGGTGGAACCTTTCTAATCCCCTTAATGAGAGTCGCCCCTTTTCAGCAGAATGAAGCTCTCCTTGACTCCACGTGGTGCTGCTGTTCAGAAGATGGCCACCAGAGAGTGCTGTGTAAAAGTGCAAGATAACAGAACACGTTACACGGAGCCTAAATACTGTTTCTTATTTGTAAAAAGTCCAGGTATATCGGGGTGGTTGCCATGTTGGAATGTTTTTGCGTTTTCAATTTTATGTGAATTGGTTGCAAAAATACTTAATTTATGAAGCTTGAACAACGATTTCCGAATAAAGATTGCGGTTTATTCCGAGGCGTCTGGTTTTCATTGACTGAACAGGTTTGTTATAGTATATATTATTATACATGAGGCTTGGGTAAGTCCAGGTAACACACATTGACATGGTCAGGTTTGGATGTTGAAAACACATGTTTTTATTTTGCCATTCTTATTTTGTAAGCTTTTATTTTGACACTTAAGCCGGATGCGCTGTGGTACCACTGTGTCTTGACATACATCATCTCACATCAGAGACACACGCTCGCTCATTTCACGCGGCTGGACGCCCATCAGAAAACACAGAAGATGGTGGCGGCTGCAGACCCACCTGCCACACTAACCTCCAAGCAAGACGCCAATTCATCTGCAATACGCAAATATTGTCCTGATCAATGGAAACCAACTCCTATCTCCTTCAGACCGTGCGTGGAATGAAAACAAGTAGCGACTCCTAATTTTCCATTTAAAGTAGGTGATTAATCCCGTTTGAAATCTTGCATGTGAAAATCAGAGTAAAGAGTGATCTTGACAGAAAAGCGCCGTTTTGGGAAACAGACTGAGCTGGGAGAGACGCGCGCAGCACAGACAACCTTTATAATTAGCCATTTTCTCTGTGGCTTTGCGACGCCTGGCATTTCCAAATGGACCGAGCTACTGTGGGCAAACTTTACTTAATTGGCCAACATGGGCCGGACCTTAGTTTTTTGTGAAGATTGCGCTGTTTTGCTGCAAAGAGCTGTAATGGTGCGTGCTGTTACCTGGACGCTCGCTGGACTTGATTTAATGCATGTTGATGCCAAAGCTTTGAGCATGGTGCGTGATCAGAGGTGAGCATGGCTTTGGTATCAGTATTGAATTGAACGGCCTAAATTTGGATTCAGCTGACTTTGTCAGGATTAATTTGAACGTGAGAAAAGGAAAACGCTCTCTCATCAACCCAGGTTGACTCAAGCAGAAAGTTTTAATTTGGAAAATAGGCTTGAGTCTCATTACTGCGCTTTTGCATTTGCATTTCGGAACCAACCTCGTTTTTTAAAAGCTGGATATGTTTTTGGAAAGTCCTAACAATAAGTGGAACCATGTCCCTGCCACTGAGTGGATTTGGACAGAGACAATACAGCCAGAGAGCGAACCACCATCACAAGTGTCAAAAGCAGCAAAGAACTTTTTAAAAGGCAGACAGTGACAGCAGTCATCAGAGGCAGTAATGAACCAACATTTTTGGAAAATGTCCTCAGCACCTTGGCAACAACTGCTTTATTATTACTTTACACTGTGAGGTTTCTGTAGCTGCCTTAGGAGAAGAAACGCTGTGTCAATATGGCCTCCCCACAACATCAGCAGCTGCTTCCTCACAACACTGAAGCGAGTTGTGACATAGGTGGAAATGGAGGAGTCTCGATTCGAATCAGCAGCAGTATTAGACACAAGCACGGAGGTGGGCCGCTAGGTTCCTTCATGGGGGGGTCCAAACATTGTAAATACAGCATTTCCTCCAGCTGCAGCTCAGGGGAGTCTGGGGCTCGGAGACCTGCAGTCAAGAACTTTCGTATGCAGAAGAAAATGCCTCAACTTTTTGAACGATCTGCAGGACAATTCTGGAACCCCAAATTTGACTCTTCTATTTTAGAGGAGGCCTGTCGTGAACGGTGTTTCCCTCAGACCAAAAGGAGATTTCGCTATGTTCTCTTTTACCTGGTGTCTGCCAGTTTCCTCTGGGGACTGTACTTTGCTGTTCAGCCCTCTCGCTGTAACAGAGCGGCCTTTCTCCTTCCTACTGCTTCCTTTTTCTTTTTCTGCCTGCTCCTTTTCCTCCTAACTTTCACTAAGCTCTATAATCGCTGTTACAATCAGGCCTCTCTTCTGCTCATTTTTGTCACGTTCATCCTCACGTTGGTGCCGCAAATCCAGACCGCAGGGTTCAGGGACACTGAGACTCCCATTGGCACTTTAGAAGAAGACGAGCAAAGTGGCATGGGGCCAGTGAACAACATGTCTTACAAAAGGCAGTTGCAGGAAGATAAATGGTCCCCTTGCCTCTCTCCTGTTGGTACATTTTCCCTGTGCATTGAAGTGTTGCTTTTGCTCTACAGCGTTCTCCATGTTCGCCTTTATGCCTCTCTTATCCTGGGCTTACTCTACTCGGTCATGTTTGAGAGTTTGGGCTGGTTGCACCTTACACAAACTGGGGGATCCTGGACTCTGTCTTGTTCATCAGACTGGGGCACATTTAGATGGCTGGGACCCGCCAAAGCCCTGCTCCACCTCTGTGCTCATGCAATAGGTATTCATCTATTCATCATGTCGGAGGTACGCTCACGCAGCACTTTCCTGAAGGTGGGACAGGCAATCATGCATGGTAAAGATCTGGAGATGGAGAAGGCCTTAAAGGAGAGAATGATCCACTCTGTAATGCCCAGGCTTGTGGCTGATGAGCTAATGAAACAAGGGGATGAAGAACTTGGTGACCATTCAGCCAAACGGTACTCAACCAGTGGTGCGGCAGCTGCTTTATCAAGTCCCAAGAACTACAAACACAAGAAGACTTCTATTCCTCGTGGTCAGATTATATTCAGGCCTTTTAACATGAAACGTATGGATCCTGTCAGTATTCTCTTTGCAGATATTGTTGGCTTTACCAAAATGTCTGCCAACAAGTCTGCCCATGCCCTGGTGGGGCTTTTAAACGACTTATTTGGTCGTTTTGATCGCCTTTGCGAACTAACGGGGTGTGAAAAGATAAGCACTCTGGGGGATTGTTACTATTGTGTAGCTGGGTGCCCTGAGCCCAGGCCAGATCATGCCTACTGCTGTGTAGAAATGGGGCTGGGAATGATCCAAGCCATTGAGCAGTTTTGCCAAGAAAAGAAGGAGATGGTGAACATGAGGGTGGGCGTCCACACAGGGACTGTACTCTGCGGTATTCTTGGCATGAAACGGTTCAAATTTGATGTTTGGTCCAATGATGTTAATTTGGCCAATCTGATGGAGCAACTTGGTGTGGCTGGAAAAGTTCACCTATCGCAAGCCTCTGCTCACTTCCTGGACGACCGATATAAATGTGAAGATGGTCATGTCATCGAGAGGTTGGGACACAGCGTTGTGGCAGATCAGCTTAAAGGTAGGCATCTTGTTTTCTTATATCATGGTAAACCTCAGTGATTCAGTTAAAAATCACTGGTTAAAACTAAAAAGGATGTGCTGTTTTCTACCATTATTAATATGAGCTTATTTGTAATGAAACGAAAGAATTCGTCCTTTAATCTTCTCCATATAGACAACAACAATCTGGTTCAAAAATCTGAATGCTTTTAATCTTCTAACTTTCTGCAATGCTCTCACATCACTTTTACAATCTGAAGAAATACAGATTATATATTCATTAATCTGGCATTGTGCAGTAATGTGTTAAAATCTCATGTTTCCGTCACGATTGATATTATCCGTTTACTCTTCACAGCCAAGGCTTTTATTACATGTCACCGTTGTCAGAGAAATTTACAACAAAGGCATCAGCTGAAGTACTAACATAAACACATTTTTATGGGTTTCTTCTCTCGCGTATGATGTCATTAGAACTGTTTCTAAGAGAGGAATATTTCCGTTGCCGAAGGTCAACGCTGGGGCTTGAGCTTTGTTGTATGATTGAACAAAACTGTTAGAGGCAGTTAATCTATCATGAATTATTCAATGTCCCGTTTCCATTTGTGGTATGTGGCTTTAACCCTGTACTTTCCCTTGATATTCTGATTGTCCTTTTCTTTTAACCTTGCTCCAAATCGCAGAGAATTTCCTTTATAGAAGTACATATATCTATTTTCAGAAATCTGTATAACGTATGTATTTTCAGATAGAGCTTAAGTAGCCAATTGCGTAAAATGTTCCAATTCAGACCTCATTTGTTTGATTTAGCCAGGCTTTGCTCAGTCATTTTTTTCTTTGTAAAGTTTGTCAAAAGTTTCAGTATTGGTAGGGCAATCTGTGATCAAAATCAAATATAGCTACATAGTGACTATAGTGGTAGTCTATTCTGTCCTAAACACTTTTCTTAATTATCAGTGACTTGAGCTACTTCATAAAGAGAGAATATTTGTTGGTGAATGGCCCACTCTCTGTTCTAGCACTGCTGCCCAGAACCCACAGTACAGTGTGTGTTCAAGTGTAGTAATCCATAAGGTGTGGGTGCTCTGCGTTTGCTCCATTTAACAAGATTTTGTCCTGGAAAATGTTGCCACGCGGAGGTCCAAATAAATCTCTGAGGGCATTTTGTTTACATGCCAACAACTAAAGATTTATGGCCCGCATTTTCATTTCTCATCTTCTTAGATTAACGAGCAAGCAGTTTTTCACGGCAAAGGGGACAATTGTTTTCTTTTCGTCTCTTTCCTTCTTTCTTTCTTTCATCTTTGAAGCGTTGACTTTTGAGTTTCATCCTTCTCCCTGTGGATTTGGCATCAGCTAAAGGAGCTGGCTGTCAGGAGGCTTGCGAAAATCCTTCTTCTGTCGCAACTCAAACTGTGTAAATGATTTGGGTAACGTCTATTTTTGCTGCAGGGGCCGATACAGTCTCGGTTCAGTCCGTAGAGTATTCCTCGCACATTTGTTGGAGCCGCAGTATTGTGTGGTACTCTCAAATATTATTTCTTTAATCCTTTTATGGTATATTTAAACTATGATCCGTCTGTATGAGCTTTTAGATTATAACTATCTGGCAGACACGAGCGTATGTCTTCTTTAAAGGAGACGCACATATATTATTGTTGGTTTTATGTCCATCCATTTCAGGCACAAACATGCAACCCCGCCCCTTCTGTCTAAAAGCTCCAGTCTCAGTCCTGTAATAGTATGATGTCATTGTATCGCACACAAGCAAAAGGATTGTCCATCTACTGGTTTTGGCAATTTCTCAAGTGAAGTGACGTTCTTTAAGATATGATATGAGATAAACTTTATTGATCTCACAATGTATAAATGTACATGTCAGATTTGCATTTATAGAATCACTCAAAAAGACAGGAAATGCGCACATGTTAGAAAGGCTCAAATATAGTCTATTAAAAAGATATATTATGTACAATTAAATAAAATCACATGGCTGGGTTTGTAGCCAGTCATTCTCAATTTTGGGAAAAACAAATTTAACTGCCTCTAGTGGTAGCACATAGAGTTACAGGTGGAAAGCATTTTTACCCTTCACACTTGTTTCCCTATGTTAATATACATTCAAAATCATGAACGGACAAAGTGGATTGGGTCATTTTAGATTTTAATGGACAAAATAAAGCATAACATTTCTTCTTTAGTATATGGGATTTTTAATTACTTATTTCTTTTTATAATGTGGTATTGAAACTTTTTTTAAATAATCGACCAATCTAGCAGAGATAATGTCAAGTTATTGTTTAGAACATGGATCAGTAATTTTTATCAAAAGATGACAAAAACTTTGCATTCAAATCGCTAATAGTTTTTTCTGTAAATATTATCTTTACATTGAGACATTTACTTCTTTCATTTTTTTCAATCACTGCTCTATTTGAGCTTTAAAAATCTCTTTGCACTTACATGTGTTTGGGTTTGGAAATAGAGCAGTTAACGATTAATCAGTTACTAAAATAGAGATTATTGAGAAAAACGAAATTAGTTGCGATTCATTTCATTTTGGGATGGCCTCATTGTGTATGCCTATTCAAAATATGTTTCTTTGGTGAAATCCAGTTGGTTTGTTCTCTACTAAAGCTGCTCCCAGTTGAGCTACATGTTAGAGGTACTGGTAATTTTACTGCCACAATATACTAGTAAAACAATACTACATATACTGTTCTTCAATATAGGACATTAATTTTTCTCCTTTTTCTCCTCTTTAGCTGTCATGTAACTATCCAGATTTCTACTCGAGCACGGTCAGAAATCAGTAATTGTTGTGAGTTTGTTCTCTCCTCAAGAGTATTTTACTGGAAGTGTGATCTGTGGCGCCCCTCTTCAGGCGGTCCTTTTCGCAGCATGGTCAAATGTCTGTTTGCCAGTGTATTTCTCTCACACCAAAGCTGCTGAAGTCCAGTTCAGTTTCACATCAGAGGTTTCTTTCTTTTCTGCTTTTCCAAATAATGATACATGTCGTGCACATGAGGCTCTCTCGATGAGCCTCTATTATCCAACTAATCCAGACAGAATCCTGTGCGAGTGGAACCGAGCCCTTTCTCTTTTACAGCAACAATGGCTTTTATTACAGAAGGACATTAAAGCAGTTGTCATGCTGATGTGGGCTAATGGAGGCACTAGGCACTTTAGGCACTTTAGCATTAGTTCTGCATTCTACAAGAGAGGGATAAGTGTAATACAACAGGTAAGCAAAACATTTTTCAGACTATTAGATAGTTAAACAATGACAAATATAACTGAATCACAGCACATTTAAGCATGTGCTTTCACCTCACAACCTTAACTGCTGAGTAGAGGAAAGGTGTGGAGTATAGGCTCTAACGGTTTATTGGAATTAACAATGATTATCCAACCATGATTCATGATAACTGCTCCATACTGTTAACGTGAGATGTGATTTAATGTCTTGTTTTGAATGATAAATGGGTTAGAGGAGTCTTCTGGTGCCTTCTCTTCAGAAGTTTAAAAAAAAAAAAAAAACAAAAAAAGATCAAATATAATATTAGCATTTCAAACATAACGATAATGAATAATCATTTACCAGAGCAGTTGTTAGTACCTGGTGGAACACACCAATTAAGAATATTCTTAATTGGAAGATTTTAAAGTCTCTGACTTCCTGTTACTTACGTTATAAAAATGATTCTGCTAATCCCCCGAGTTGACGTGATTGATGTTAGCAATTCTATCACACTTCTCATCATGGCCTGCCTTTATCCAAACTCTTAACTTACAGTTTTAGTTCTGCAAATGATATTGATTCACCATAACGAGTCTGTCAAGATTGACCCCAGCAGAATCAAAATTGCAATGTTACTAAATAGTTTCATTTACATATCTGTTTGCAGCAGAAATAATAAACGGTTGAACACCAGAGGATTGTGTCATCCACATAATCCATTCCCATCATCTCTTCACTCTGTGATCATTGATCTGCCCTTTTTACATTAGACTCAGAAGTGAGGGATTCATCATGTGTTTTTCCTTTCTTTTCTTCTTGCACGATGCAGGTGCAACATCCGCTGTAGGTGGTGACTCACACACATCTACATTAATATTTACACTTGCCTTTCACTGCTCTGCAGGAGCTGCTGCAGGCAGAACGCTGCTGTCAATCAGCAACTTCTCCTCGGGTTTTTTGGTAAAAGTCTCATTTCGGAATCTATTTTGTGCAATGGTGAGTGAATAGTTTTGGATTCATTTGATATGGAGGAAGAGTTTCTCGATTTGCCATTGATTTATTTTATATTTGTTTTGCCCATTCCACAAATCTGTTCAAATACACAGAACATATTATGGCTGTAATTAAAATTAATGTTATTTGATTAGTTGGATGTATATTCAGTTGGTTAGCCGACGTAGTAAACTGTTTTTTTTTCTTGCCAGGTGGATTAGGTTTTTACCTGGTGATACTTCTAATGTCCTAATTAGCTATTAGAACATTTTTATAGGTTATTAAATAATGAATTGATGTATATAGCTGGGAATGACTCATTTTAAAGAAGAGGAAAGGAAAATATGAAGATATCCAGTGTTATTTGTGAAACACCTGTAGTGATCTTTGTGCTTATACCTTTTTTATTTATTTATTTATTTTGAACAGTATTATTTCTGCTCAAAAGGAGTGAGCTGAAGCATCTTGCTTCAGCCCTCAATAGAATCACATTATTTTTATCACAATAAAATATTACAGAACAAGGACACAAAAGCACACAGCAGGATTTGCATATGTAGTTATTCATCTGTATTGAAATAAAATGAATTATAATGAAAAGGTTGCTTTAAATGAGGTACAACATTCTTGACAGCATATCAGCCAGATGGGAAGAGGTTCACAAAATGTAAAAAATTATGTATATCAGTGAATCTCAAAAATCCATCTCATTCTACAGTGATCACAGCCTTAAAGTCACTATTGTTTTAGTCTGTGTGATTCAAATGACAATTAATCAATCACTA